CAGACACTACAATTAAAAACTGACCGCGGCTGCTCAATGCAGCGTACCGAACGACAGTCGCATCACAGATCAGATTTAATTTCTCCAGTGAGGAGAGTGAGCCGAGCTCTGACAAGAAGAGTGAGGCGAGACAGACAAGACGATCGTGGATGATTTAGTTTCGAAACTAGATGCAAAAGTATCTGTTTGGCAATATTTTGTATTTTGAAAAGCCTGTTGACTTTTGCCGTTTATCTAATGTGATTTTGGAAGTTTTTTTAAACATTTGTTTCTTATTTAATTGGTTCCACATGGTTTGCTGATTTTTACTTTATTTAAACTGTCATTTATTTATTTTATTTGACATTCGTTTTGCTAATAAACATTCCACGTTTCTTATTTATTTGGTTATATATTATACACGTTTACTTATTTCCAGTTTTGTATACCTATTAAACTTTATGCAAGTTATTTGTTATTTTATATTAGGCATAGCTTGCCCTATAGCAAGTTCTATGTTTTATATATAGGCTAAAGTGAGTTTGATGTTGTATTTTGTTGTTGCATTCAAGCAATTGACGCCGAACTGCCGTTAATTCAAACGTGAAAGTAAAATGGACACACCGCTTTTACAAGCCATTTAAAAGCGAGGAAAAGAGGGAACGCCCCGCGCTGATACCAGTGTTGTCACGCGTCGATTAACCGGTGGGAAAATGTCCTCACCGTCACAACCCCACTATACACTAAGAATTTTTACATGAAAAAAAGTATTATTACAAAATAAGTGTTTTTTGTGCCATCTTTTACATAATATAACAGTTATGGTCCTGGCCTAGAAGACATTAACGCCTAGCGATATAAACAGCCACAGTAATATTGTGAAATATGCATTCACATTATCACTGCACAACACAAAAGTGGATGCTTTTTTTTTTTTGCAGAGTAACAGTGTTATGGTGCAGTCACAATTTCATGGACAAAAGGTCCATTGTGTATTGTCAATAGTGTAGCGATACATGAACCACAGGTCACACAAAAGTCACTTTCAAATCTAGCCGCTTTCGGTTGTTCAATGTGACGAATTTCCGCAACCAACTTGAACCCGTAGCGAAAACTGCATGGGAAATATTTTGCCCTCTCAAAATGCTAAATTCTTGATTGGATTCCTATTAAAACTACATTTTTGCTTGCCAAAACTGCCTTCGCCAAATGTGACTGCACCTTAATATCAGGTATTGCATGTCAGGCAAATTACTTTGTAAATTAATAACAATTACATTTTAATTAAAGCATCTATTCGACATGTTTTTAATATCTAACAAAAAAATAAACAAAATCAAGATCAGCTTTTACGCTGACAAT